TGATGTGCTAACAGTGCTGTAATTTAATCAGATAGTGGCAGCAGTCTCACCTCTGTCTCTAACTGAAATGGATATATATTGCCAGTGCTTATGGGAAGCTTACTTGCTGAGAACTCACTTTACCAAATAAATCTTCAATGAATTGCAATGACTGTCTTACATAGTTACTTCTCCTGTAAGCCCCCAAATTGTGATGAGGGTTTTAGTTGTAGTAATTTAGTGTTTATTTTAATAGATTTTGATTGTCTTACAGTTTTACTATGTAAATATTTTTAGGCGTCTTGAGCTTTCTCTTATTGCTCTGCATTGCCAATTTGCCCTTCAAGCAACTTGCAGGCATTTTGAAACAGGTGTGACCTGAGTTATTATTCCCTATTAGCTGCTTTTCCATCTCGTGTGTTATTTTATACAACTTCAGTTGTTGTATGCTCCAATATATGTGGGAGGGCACGTATCCTTTGTCATGTTACACATCTTGTTTTGAATATTCATACAATGTATGCTGTGCTGCATACTAGCAAAAAGAGATTTGGGCAATCTTACTTAAAAATGTACTGTAATATTTCAACTGCAGATTTGTCTTTAGCCACAAGGAAAGTTCTGAATAAGTGGGGATGCTAAGTGTAGCCTTTAAGGTCACTTCTCCATTATTTTCTGATATGTCAGGAGGAATACAGGCTATGGCTTTCACTTTGTACATGCATACCACAAGGGCCCTTGTTTTCCCTAAGCTGATGCAAGGTAGCCAGCTCACTTTATTCTTTATACTTGGATCACATTCTGTTTGCTTTAAGGAAAACTTCATCACTTAGCTGCAGGATCAGGACAGATCCAGGAAGATGTAGGTGTAAACGAATTTGCTGATAAACCAGTCCTTTAGTGAACATTTAGAATCTGTGTTTCTGAGGATTTTATACATATGAGTCCAACCTGCTGGTCCTATGTTTTTGTTGCCCTCTTATGTTTTAATAATAATTATATATATAATGTGCAGCCCAAGACAGTTTTCTTCTTCACTCAATGCGGCCCAGGCAAGCTATAAGGTTGGACACCCATGGCCAATGATAGACATACAAACATAGAGGTCTGACTAGGGGTTCCTGTGCCCCACAGTCAGTTCACCCATCGAACTGATGCGTACTCTGCAACAGAGTAAAGCAGTTTATATGCAGCAGTTGTAAGATCTAAGTAGATGATGATGTGGCAGGTATCAGATCAATATTATAGAATAGGGATTTGGGAGGGTGAGGGTACAATTTCCTCTTTTTTTTTTTTTTTTTTCCTTTTTATTTCCAGATTCCATTTTATAGGAATCAAAAGCCTCAAATATTTTCCTAAACTGAGACAATGGAGATATGCATATTTGGAGGCCAAGTATTCATGCAATCCCTTCTCCAACAGAAATTATTTTGGAAATACTCAGTTAAGACCTAGCTAAAATTCTCTGGTACTACAGTTCGCTAGAAGGCAGTTCAGAGCAAGAATGTAATCAGCTATGTTGTTTTATCTTCACAGACTGCCTCTCTGAAGCCTATTCTTTCTATAATTAGCAGAAACTGTCTTTTTAGGGATAGGTATTTTGTGTACTGGTTAAAGTTGATAAGGCCTGAACTATGTTATACTAAGGAGGCTTAACTGTGTTTGATTGCAAATTTGTGCTTTTGCACAGTGAATTCAAATGTGAACACAGTGTTTTTGGACAAACTTGTGCTTCAGATGGTATTTTAATATCTTTGGTGTTTGTTTCTTTTTTTAAATATATATAAATATACATATATATGTGTGTTATGGTGAGATCTATCAACCAGACTAATGATTTCCTAAATGTGTGTTCTCTTTTTTTGTATTCCTAGTTATTTCTAAAACATCTGCACAGGGTTCCTACACTGACCTGTGTAGTTTACTCAATAATGTTCAGCTTTTGTTTTCTTTTGTCTAGATAATAAGACCTTTCATTTTTAGAAATAGTTATTTGTCACTTAATTTTTACAGTTAGATGGCTTCTTTTTCTCCCAGGCATTTAACAGGCTCTGTGCCACACCATCTACAATAGATTTTTTTACACTAACTTTGTCAATTCAGACTTCAAATCAAAACCAGAGTCATGTATCTTCCCTTTTTAATTTTTTGTGACTTTTGAAAACCAATTAGACACCCCGTTAGGATCTGTGAAATTAACCAGAGAAGCATCAAATAATTTTTTTCTGTCTTGAAATCAGGCTGTTGTCATATGTGGAAAAGGACTTAAAATCAACATTTCTAAAAATGTGTGAAATTCTGCCTGTCACCTTTCCTCAATTTAGTGTTTAAAGGATGGATGTTTGTCATTACCAGAAGAGCACTGTAAAAAAACATAATTTTTCTGTCTATGTGCTAAATGTTTAATTTTCAGATGTTTTCTGTTTGTGAAAACATTTGTGTGAGCAGACGTGTTGAGATGACTTTTCTTTGTTAATAACTCAGACCAGTGCATAATTTCTCACTGACTTCAATATGCTTTTCATATTCAATTAAGGTTGTTTTGAGTATTTTATTATTACTATTATTGAGCAAGATTTGGTTTTTGAAGTGGACCCACACATATTAAAATCATTTTAATGCTCCATTTCATCTCAGTGAGATAACGATGTATGCTTGGAGCCACTCAGAGCATTTTTGTGTGCACCCAACATTTTATTTGCAAGTTGAATTGTGCTTGAAAATCAACACGATGGAAATCAATATATTGGATATTGTTTTCCTTGGTTTGAATTAATGAGTAGTAATTGGAGTAACACAGTACTTTAACTGCGATCATTAATATCTTGCAGTGTATTTTAGGAGCTGCTTATGAATTTTGTACTAAAGAACACTGATCCAAATGGAGGAATTGAAGATGGCTACCCTTACGTGTAACAACTTTTAATTTTGTGCTGCGAGCAATAAACCCAACCTTGGCTGTCACATCTACCATGCAGGCTACCAGAGTGTTATTTAGGGAGAATAAGTAAAACGAATGTGGGAGACTGAGAGATTCTTTTTCTTGTAATACATCATGATCTATCTATCTATCTGTATATTTAGTTTAATGCTGTCTTCACAGATCAGAGTATTATAGAAACTTTGTATTACAAGTGCTAGCCATAATAACAGTCTTGTCTGTAACAGCTCCTGTTTGCTGCTTTAATTAGGGTATTTCTGCTAGAGATTTCTGAAAAGAGAAAAGAAAGCATGAGAAAACTTGAATTTGCTACCTCTTTAAGGAGTAGAAACTTAGATCTCTGACTCGTAAGGGCTTTGACAGTTTGTGTTAGTTTAAATAATAGAATTCAAATACTTTTGCTTCATAGAATCATAGAATCACCAAGATTGAAAAAGACCTCTGAGATCATCTAGTCCAACCGTCGACTTACTACCAGTATTTCCCCACTAAACCGGGTACCTTAATACAACATCTAAATGTTGTATTAATGTAATAATAAATGTAAACATTTATTCATAATGTTTTTTTGAAGACCTCCATCAGTGGTAATTCAACCACTTCCTGTGTTGAACCGTGTTGAACCACGTTCCAGCACTTAACCACTCTTTCAGAGAAGACATTTTTCCTAATGCCCAACTTGAACCTCCCCTTGAGGCCATTCCCTCTGGTCCTATCGCTGTTTATCTGGGAGAAGAGACTGGATACAACCTTTTCACAGCTTCCTTTCAGGTAGTTGTAGAGAGCAATAATGTCTCTGTTAAGCCTTCTCATCTCCAGACTAAACAATCCCAGTACCCTCAGCCATTTCTCCTGCAGTTTGTGCTCCAGACTCCTCACCAGCTTTGTTGCTCTTTTCTGGACATGCTCCAGGACCTCAATGTCTTTCTTGTAGAGAGGAACCCAAAACCAAACACAGTACTTGAGCTGTGGCCTCACCAGAGCTGATTATAGGGAGACAATTACCTCTCTGCTCCTGCTGGCGATACTGTTTCTGATGCAAACCAGGATGCTGTTGGCCTTCTTGGCCACCTGGGCACACTGCTGGCTCATGTTCAGCCAAGCATCGACCAATACTCTCAGGTCCATTTCCTCTACACAGTCTTCCAGCCACTCTGCCCCAAGCCTGTACCATAGCCTGGGGTTGTTGTGGCCAAAGTGCAGGACCCGGCACTTGGTCCTGTTGAATGAAATTTGTCCCATTGGCTTCAGCCCAGTGATCCAGCCTATCCAGATCTCTCTGAAGGGCCTTCCTACCCCAGCAGACACTTCCTGCCAGCTCAGTGTTGTCTGCAGTCTTATTGCACTCAATCTCTTTTTTCCAGGTCATCAATAAAGATATTAAACAAGCCAGGCCCCAGTACCAATGCCTGGGGAAAACACCACCTGTGATCGGTTGCTAGCTGGATGTAACTCCATGCACCACCTCTTTCTGAGCCTGGTCCTTTCTTTATCCAACAAAGATTGTACCTGTCCAAACCAACAAAGATTGTACCTGCCAGCTGCTCCAGGAGAAGCTTCCCTATTGACTTCCATTTTGTGTGGTGGTGTTCTGTGGCTAGTTCTGTGAAAGAAAGAGCAAAAGGAAATTAGCCTCAGCTCTTTGCATTGTACAGGCACAGCATACAGTAATGGTCTCTAATTTCAGCCTTAAATTGTTTGACTGTATTGTGATTGGCAGGTGATAATACCTGTCAGGTAGGTCAAACTGAATTCTGTATTTGGGAACGTCTTCAGCCGATCTCAATGAAAATTTCGTAATGTTTTTTGGAAAACACGATGAAGTAAAGTGGAGATAACAAATCTGTCCAGAATTAAGATCAAATGCATCACCAGCCTGCACAGGATAGAAACAGATGCCTAATCTTAACATTGTGCAAGGAATAAGTACAATAAAATAAAATTAGTTGTTTTTACAGTCTGGACAACTTGTGAACAGAAGCTGATGAGAAATACTGATTTCTTTTTATTTTAAAGTAGTAAGAAGTGTTTGTTGCACTTGTCCTTGATTGAGTTACTGTTTGCTCTCTTTCTGTTTTAGGTTATGGACAGACGGGTCCAATGGTTCAGAGAGGTGGATATGACTCCATTGCAGCTGCCATTTCTGGTCTCACACACATCACAGGGCACGAGGTATGGTGCTCAGCTTTAAAATTTAGTAGAGTCTGTGACATGCTCCATGTACTCATCACATTGCAGTGTTAGCTAGCCTTTGTTAATACCTCTGCTATGTATGCCCTCCACAGTCCAACAATAGGCCTTATCTCAGTGAAGTTAATAAAATGGTAGTACTTTTGCCCATGCGGTATCTCGTTCCAGCCTTAAAAACTAAGTCAATGCCTGAGAAACAGAAAATGGAAGAAAAATGGTATCCTAAATTTCCAGTGAATAAGTTATCAATACTTAAGTTAATTTGCGTGACTTTCAGTCACTTCAGTAACTTTAATAGGCAGATTAGCTGCTGGATAATGAAACCACACTTTTGTGGAAAGCCTCACCTGTGCTTTGATATAGCAGATGCATCAGGCCTTTAAAAGATGGAATTGTGAAGCCATCCAGATAACTTCTAACTTTTCAATCACCCTGCCTGAAAATTTGCAGGGACATACCATTAGTGGCTCTGGAAAAGCTTTATGTGCTGCTATTCCCACTGATATCCAAGATTGTTGGATCATACAGCAGTGCAGGAAGCATTACAGGGGTAATGCTTAATATATGGATTACAGTGATACATAGAATATGTATCTTTACCTCGGAGAAAAATGCTGGTGAAATAGGTCTTTGCTTGAATCAGGTAATGAGGTCTCCAAATATCATTTCCTGAAAGAGATAGTGCTACAAATCTGTTCTCTTTGTCACAACCACTAGATAGTTGTCTGTGCTCCTAATAGTCTGAAAACAGTTGTGTATGATTCTTGCCTGCCCTGAATAAGCAAGGAGTGCATCAAGTTTCAAATATTCCTGTTTCTTGAGTGGATTGTTCAGTGCTTAGTATGATGATGTGGACATTGCTGTAGGAATGATATTCTGCCAGTAGACTGATTTTCTGCCCAAAACAATGGCAAGCATCAGAACTCTGTGCTCTAGAGAATTATTCTACTCCTTCCTATGGAGAAGTTAAAGAAAACAAAACAAGAACAAACAAACAAACAAACCCAACACATTGCTGCTGTATTAGTGATTAGTGTCCCACCTCAGAATACAGGAAGATGAAGTTAAATGTGGTCCTTGGAGATACTTTTCTGCAAATATGTAAGCCACATATGTATTAACCAGTGATTAAGCACATTCACTATAGAGTGGTCAGTGCTTCTAATACAATGCCAGAAACTTCATGCCCTCTTCAAAATGTACCAAAATTAGGTAGAAGTAGTGAGAATTAGAGAGGGAAAAATAGTCCCAGCTGAATAAAGGAATTGATGTTGAAAATTTGAGGGGAACAAACAAACCAAACAACAACAAAAACAAAAACGCAAGGCTCTTGCAAGGCTTTTAGGTATGTGAATGATGGAAACTGCAAGTGCTGCAGGAGCAATATTACTGAGTGACACTTATGAAGATGGATTTAATTAAAAGATTCTGTTCAGATCTACACTGCAAATCCAGACGTTGGTTTTGCCTCCCCCGGAATTGAGGCAGTGTAATCAAATATCATGTAATCATTGCTGGTAACGGTTTCATCTATTCACTAGGGACTTTTAACAGTTCATTCAAATTTAGTTGTTCTCTGGCATGATTAAAATAAACACACTAAGACATGCTTTATTATTTATTTTTCATTTGCAGTAGGTCGTATATTTTATCAGCTTCTGAATAAAACATTTTTTGTTGTACAGAGGGACAGTTTGTTTTTTATCAAAGACTTAAGTGGTCAGCAGCCCCGAGGATGTGTGTGCTTTTTGTTATAGTGAAATTTGACCAAAATAGTTTTAAAATCATACTGTATGGCTGCTTGAAAATGTAGTATTTTCAACTAAAACTTCCATGTCCTACATTTCTGCATGTTATTGAGTATTTTTGAATTCTAAACAGAGCCAGCTATGAAAAAATGTTGGAAAAGCTTATTTCAGGCAATATGGGGAGAAATGACCGAAGTAAAGAAGAAAAAAGAATTTTGCTCACTTTTGTGGCTTTTTTTTTTTTTTAATTAAACTGTTATTTTTTGCCTAATAGCAAGAATTTGTACTTAAAGGACAAATAATAAGGACTTAAGTCCTTAAAGCAACATGTTCCTTTGGAGCATGCTATAGTAAACTAGATTACAATTTTTCTTTTTTTTTTTTTTAACAGTAAATTGAAAATGTCAGTCTTGTAAACTAATGAAGAAAGAAAGAAAAGTTATGATATTTTTGTATTGTCTTGCAGTAGCTGTGCTTAATCAGCATAATAATATCATTGTAACAGTGCTCTGTAGAAACTTCTTTTTAATAGACAAACTGAGAAGTGTGCTTGCAGTGCCTTAGGGGTCGTAATTGTAGACAAACTACAAAGTTGGGGAGCAGAAAAAGGCATCTATGTACATCAGTGAGTTGCTTAATTTTAAGTTACATTAATGTGTGGTTAGATTGATCTGAAAGTAATATTTATTTCCATGGAAACTACACCGGATACAAAGAGCAAAATAACACTTTGACAGAGCAAATTCTCAGCTATAAAACAGTATTTTTCAACGTGGTCACCACCATTAGCTACTCATTTTTGCCAGCAATGAACAAGAGCCTGCATGCCACGCTTCTCAAAATCTGCACCAGTGAAGGGGACCCACTGTCACTTCTGCCACTGCTGAAACGTTCCAGCCACCACCTCGTTGTGCTCACATCCCCTGTTTGGTCTCCACAAACATTCAGGAAGCATCAATGAATGTCACTGGATGCAATTTTTTTTCCGCACGGAGGAATTCAGTGACATGCATGCACTTCTGTGTCAGACATCATTTATCAGACTATCTCTGCTGCCATCTGTTTCATGACAACAAAGATGTAACAGAATATTTTCAGGAAGGTTCAACCCCTACTGCCATGCCACCAACATCCACCCCTGACATCATGGGCCATCATAAGAAGATAGGAGGCAGTACTTTCATAGCAGCTCTTGTGTTCACAGCACCATACGAAGCATTTTAATAATAGAATAGTAAAATTGTGTTCTGTACTTGACATTTCTAAAATTGATAGAATTCATAGCAGTAAGAACTGCATTTTAGAGAAATTCAATATTGTAAATTTTACTCTATTTCAACCATCTGGCTACTGATTTAATTTCTAAGGCAGCTTTCTGTTGCTGTTGACTGACCTTTATTGAATGCTGGGCAGCCGTGCCTCTGTACAGTAACTCTTAGTATTATACTATGAAAACTCTGTATTACTAGCACAGGAATTTGAGTAAAGCTTAACTTCATTAATTTGATCACGTACACAACATTTCCTGCAAATACTTTGTGTAACACTTACTTTGAGGCAGTAGATCACAGTGGAAATGTTTATTTTTTTCCAAGTTAAATTTTGGATAGTGAAATAATTAAAAATGTGATATGAAAGTGGAAAGAGCCAGAAGTACACAGTAATATCACATCTAACACATGGAATAGAACTGTTGCAAGGAGTGCAAGATTTGTGCATTTTTCATCTGATTTTTTGAGAAACAAGAAAAGATTCCTACATGAGGAAATTTGGAGACTCTTGCCTTTTTTCCATTTTTCCTAAGAAGTATCTGTTACTGAAATGACTTAGTGCTGGCTGTTTTGAAAGGCTTTCAAGCAAAGTTGAATCTTGAAATCAAACTGTAGCCTTTGCAACATTGAAGAGTTAAAGGCACAAACAGCTGTACTTGTGCTTTTGTTGACTAAACCAAACCCATCTACTGTGGAATGCTATCTTTAAATCATGCTTTTATGTGCAGATAAGGAAATCTGCGTGGAGTTCCAACTCATACATATGAACTTGATTACCTCTGTATTACAAATGTTGTGACACCTGTGGAATTTGAAATTCTAGTGTGTATGAAAACTTCAAACCCATTTTATATAAATCTGTACCACAAATTCATTTTGAAATGGAAGCTGCTGCTTCGGGCCAGATTCAGTTAATTATTTCTTTTTTAACTATATATTAAAATATGCAAAAAGGACTGACTTTATACCGATGACAATTTTATTGTCCTGGAAGACATAACTTATAATTTATTATAAATAAATTATTGTCCCAGAACATAATTTATGTGCTGGAAGACAAAACTTTATTGGTTAAACATCACATTCAAGTTTCTTATTTGATGAACAGAAAGCTTTTACTTTAACATATTCAGTGTTGTATGAATATTCCTTTGAAAATTTCATGAAACTCATTAGGGCATTAAATTTGAACTTAAATAAAAACAACTTGGATACAAGTTTCCTTTACATCTCCACGTGGATCATTAGATAGCTTTATGGTGCTGCAGCATATTCAGTAAGCACGTTTTCTTGTTGAAGCAGCATTTTGTATTTTATTGAACAGTAGACAGCAAAACATTAGAATCTTCTGTACCAGAGGGGCCATTCTTCAGCTTAAAAACAAATGACTATAAAAGAGTACATGTAGTATACAGTTCAGAGCTGTTGAAAAAAAATATAGCCCTTGCTGGTTAATATGAGCTGCAGCAAGTTATTTCCATTCTGTAAGGACTACTGGACTTTTATTCATACTTTTACTGTGCATGTCATTTCAAAACAACTTCCATTTATAGCGGATCACTTTTTGTAACACTGATGTAAAACTGGGAAGAGAAGTTATGTCAAAGGGCAAAAAAAAAAAAAAAAAAAGAAAAAAAAAGAAAAAGAAAATCAGGAAAGCAATCTTCCAGAATACATTGAGGCTATCATGAATAAAAGTGTAAACTAGTGGCAAGTTTGCAATAGCAAAGCACTGGAGTGAACTTCTGTATGTTAAGCACTTTATGTGAAGCTTCACTGTTCACATAAAGCAGCTTCGTATCTCTTGTTCCACAGGACAGATGTGAAAATGAAATGAAAATGAATCTATTTCACATTAGTGAATGCATCCTGTCACAGAAAGGCACAGGTGGACATTAGAAGTTGATTTAGGGGAGGAGGAGGATGAATTGCTGAATTATCTTAGTAGGCACGCTAAGGAAGAATGGAGATTGTGCAGGCTGCTGCAGAGTGTTAAAAATAACATAGCAATATAGGAGTTTGACTTCTTAAGTATAGGAGTGTTCTGTAAGAGGAAATTGTGAAAATTTGTGCTTTACACCTTTGGCTTCTGTTTTGTTGTCTCTGTCCTTTGAACATTTGTGTGTTGAAGTATCGCATTAGAGCAAGAAGTAGCGTAAAAAGTAATTGACAGTTTAAAGGCTTTGCAGCATCTTGATGCAATGAATCGTGTGCAAATACTGCAAAAATACCTCTTTTCAGGGGTAGCCGTTATGTTTTGGTTCACTCAAAAATGCTTTTATCTATTGTTGCTTGTGATGAGGAAACATGTAAACGCTTTTTATGGAACATACTAAAACAAAGTAAAGCTTTGCTTATTCCCTCTTCTTCCTTTTCCTTTATTTTCTATTTGTTTGCTGTTTATTTTTATTTCATTTGGAGTGTTGTCTTCCTTTTCTTTAGGGTGGTGAACCAGTTAGAGTAGGAGTAGCCATGACAGATCTTGCTACTGGCTTGTATGCATGCGGAGCAATTATGGCTGGCTTGCTTCAGAAGCATAAGACGGGGAAAGGAATGCACATTGACTGTAATCTCTTGTCATCTCAGGTAGGAATTTAAAAAACAAACTAACTATTTCTAGTTGTTAAGATGCTTGAGCCTAAATCCAGTATTTTGATATAAATAAATGCAAGTTAATAAGTATAATTTATGATAACAATACTAATGAAAATGATTGTGTCAGTGACAACTTCCTCATTATGCCACTCTGGCGGTGACCAATTTATATGGTTATAGTTATTACAGCAGTGTGTTTGTTTTCCAATTTTTAGAGAAGGCCTCCGTGTTCTTTTAAAACGGTTTAACAAGGCTTTGATCCTGCAGAGATAGCAAGCAGTTGTAGTAGGTGGTTGAAGAAAGACAAGTGTAAATGGTTGGACTGGATGATCTTATAGGTCTTTTCCAACCTTAGTGATTCTGTGATTCTGTGAAATGGTGAAACCACCATTAGAAGGGAGGACTTAGCACTGGGCAGTATAACTAGCAGAGTGATTGAATGACTTACAATTGACCGAAGTTGTCAAGGAATCAAGGATCACTGAAGTATAAAAGTAATCTAATCTGAGAAGGCTGCCTACTGACTCTGGAAATTAGGGAATAAAATAAGTGTGAATATGCAGCATTTTCTCTAGACTTGCTGTAGAGAAATCTCATCAAAATTGGAAAGACAGAGACATGATGACAGCTGTATCATATACAATTAATAACGAGAACTTTAAATTGCATTTGAACAGCTGTTATGTCATGATTCTTTCTTCTGCTGTTGTTTGGCTTTTTAATGGACTCTTCTGGATTATTATTTGGCATTTTATCAAATGCTGAAAGTAGAAAGAATTGAGGCTGTGTTGGTGCAACTCCTAATTCATCCTGCTTTGTCAGCACAGTTGCCCTTGGAATTTTTTTTTTGTTTAAGGCAGCTTTGGCTGTGGAGAAAAAAAAAAAAAAAAAAGTGCTCTATCTTTGTGATATTTCACGTTATCCTATATGCTACTCATTGGCATAAATGAAAGGGAATGAAATCTCAGATAAATATCATTGAACAAACTGTGCATGATATGTGATTTTTGACCTCTATATGCTTAGCTGAAGCAGTACAAAATGGTGAAGGGATGGTGTTTATATATATATATATATATATATATACTTTTAATATATTCTTTTATTCTGTGCTTGTTATTAAATTGTATTCATATAAAAGTTATTAAAGAGTAATTTCATACGTGGCATTCTAATTGCCAAATAAATGTTTCTTTTTTTCCTCAAAGTTGGGTGCACTAAACTGAAATGCGTTGATATTTCGTAATAGACTACATTTATAAATTGTTAATCAGAAAATATGTATTTTCTTTTAGATAACCTTACAACCCTGGCCCAAAATTTACTCTAGGATGTTCGCCTAAGAGAATGTTCTCTTTAAGGAGAACATTTATTTAATTGGAGAAAATTATTTTTGGATGAGATTTTGGGGTAGGAAACAAACCAATGTGATCAATCCCATTGAAAACATGTTAAAATAGATGAAGAAAAATGTAGCTGACAGCCAAGTCTCTCTGGGAACATCTGGTCTTCTAGTTATCCTGGTTTGTTTTCTTCTTTTTCTTCTTCCTTAAAAAAAAAAACAACAAAGCAAATACTATTGTTTACTTGTAAATCTTGAAAGGTCAATGTCATCAAAGATGAGAAAAGAACCAGTGGAAGAAAATCTAAGTAATTAGTGTATGAAAAATTGCTCTCGATGCTTCTGTTGGTAATGTTTTAGGAGGAAAGTTTGACAATTACTGTGGTACAATCAGGTTGTATTTGGGGATTATGGTTTTACATACCAAGCTGAGGTATCTAAGGCAAGGTCTTCCTCGTGTGTAGAATCTTTAAAAAGAGTGAGTCTTTGGAATCTCACGGATACCATCAAAACAAGGAACCTGAAACTGTGGATTTTTAGTTTGTTCTTGTTGCTGTTGATTGTGTGATCTCACTGCCAAAGAAATGCTGCTTCTCCTTCAGTGTGAGTTTCACTGGAGTCATTTTTAGTGAGAAAAAAAGAAATCTTTTTTTCTGTGTGTGTTGAGTGAAAGTGTTGCTGTGATGTCCTCCTGTTTAGTTAGGAGAGCAGAGATGTATATGAAACTTATTGCTTCTGTCAGTGTTTCATGCACTGAGCTAACATGCTTATCCTTTTGTCCATCCTTTCACCTGAACTGGGAATTCTGACACAAGACTGTATATGAGTGTATATGAATAAAGTATCCTATAAACAATACCTGTCAATAAATAACATCTATCTCTCTATAATAAGTGTATAATATATTCCTTGAGCATTATTAAGGGCTTTTAGAAGTTGCTGCCTTCCACTACTTAAAGTGAGCCTACAGAAAAGCAGGGCACTATTAGGGAGGGTAGTGATAGGACAGGAGGTAATGGCTTTAAACTAAAAGAGGGTGTGTTTAGGTTTGGTATGAGGAAGAAATTATTCACTGGTGGTGAGGCATTGGAACAGGCTGCCCAGAGATGGATGCCCCATCTCTGGAAGTATTGAATATCAGGCTGGATGGTGCCCTGGGCAGCCTGATCTAGCTGAGGGTGAAGGAAGGAGGGGAAAAAAAGAAAAAGAAAGAAAATGAAAAAAACAACACCCAGGAATTAAAGTTCTTAAATAGAAATCCCTGAACAAGAATTGGATCATTTTATAGGAAAAGCCCTATGTATGTGCATGACCATTTGTGTCTGTGCTATCACTTTTCTACGTGCTTTATACAAAAGCAAGTGGCTCTTTTTTTTTGTAGGGTGTTGCTTTTGATGTTAATTTCTGCACAGGTATGCTAATGACAAAGGGCTCTGAAGTGAATTCAGCTATCAGTTACGCTTTTTAAAGAATTTTCCCTGAGTGGCAAGTTTGTTCATTATTTGTCTGGTTTGTAAAGAAAAAGTATCCGATAAATGAAGTCCTGGTCTCTTAAAAATGTTATTGTTAGAATATCTTAAAGAGACATTTATTTCAAATGTTACATATCAAACAGTTTTGTCCAGTTGCTCTATGCCAGTTTGTGACTATGAAAGAAAATTTCTTTCTGTACAACAAAACAGAATTGTAGAATTTTACTGAGGAGATGCAGTGACCGCTGGGATGTGGTTTTGCAGTGAGCACTTACTTTCTGTATCTATCATCTATAAACTTTTAACCCGTGTCATACAATTCCTTTGAAACTTTTGACTTTCAGATGATTTACAGTTGTCAGCTCCAGACCTTTCAGCGTCAGCATCTAAATAGTGTCCTTTAGATGATGCTAGTAAATAAGAAGGAAGTGGGTTTTGGGTTTGGTTCCAATTATGCAATTGCGCCTTTTCTTCTGTTGTGGCTTGAAAAAAAAAAAAAAAAAAAAAATCTCTTGGAAGTTTTAATATCCTTCCTGTATTTAATTGCAACCAGGCTGCAACAAATACTGTAATAAGTTGGTTTCTCTTGGACTGAAAATATGCAAGAAGTATTTTACATTTAACATTTCTGCAGTTTTGGAGCGCATTGTTTTTGCAGATTCCACAAACAGAATAATGCAATTAATATTGTTTGTGTTATATAATTGTTCATCAGGCATTTCTGTGCTTCTGATTATTATGTTTTAATTTGAATTTTTTTAAAGGAAACTTCGTCTTCAAATTTTAAGGTGACCCAAGAAAATTGGCATGAGTTATTTTCTACATCGTATCTCTGGCTTTAGTTTATTCAGGAAACACTGAGGTTTAGAATCTAAGAGTTTTTGGGCTTCTGGATCACTTTTTCCCAAAATGCATCTGTTTAAAGCATATCTATTTCATGTGCTTACAGTGGTCTCCATTAAAAGTTTTCGTGACGTGTCTTTTACAAACTGCTGGTTATATTTGAAACTGACACTGCTTACATGCTGCCTGGAGGTCACATATGGCATCATACAGCAGTGAGCTGTATGAGAAATAGCAGTTGTGGAACTCCAACGCTGTTCAGGTATCTTGGCAGTAACGCATTGCTTTTCTACCTGGTAAGTGATGAGTTTTCTGAATACATAACTGTATAGGAGCTGCTGAGTCATGACCTGAACCACTGATTGAGCACCTGGAGATCCAGTCAGCCCTGGGAGCACAGATGGAGGTAATTCACCTGTGTGATTGTCTGGTCTGGCTCCACCTCTCTTGAACCTCATTTAAGGGCTGTCTGACAGCCAGGAAGGATCTCTTGCTGGAGTTCCCTCCTTTGTGGAGTTTTTCTTCAAGCCTAGGTTTTTGGAGATGGGTGAGCATTCTTCTTTTTGTATTGTCTTCTCATTGTGCTGGTGTTGCTGCTGTTGCAATAAAGTAAATTTGCTTTTCTATTGGTCATTTTTTCTGGTGATTTCAAGAGCCATCAATAGGACTCTTACATAGTTGTCTTGCTTTGACTGTGGTTTAAACAAAGTTATTTTTTACAGGCTTAGAGAGTGTCACCTTGTAAAACATAGGGTTCTGTCATGTAAGAAAGGTGGGTGTGCTTTGTGTGGAGGCATTCTTTTTCACTGTGCAGCTTTGATAGGGAAATGTAACCAAGTTTAAATTAACGTGTCCGTCTCTTTAGGTCATATATTATACATCAGGCACTTCTCTTGGGTATTATTCTCCAAAATTTCAATTGAGGATCTCAGCTTAATACAGAGCAGGCATTATCCCTCAGAATTTCAAGTAGCCAGAATGTTGTCGAAGTAGTTCTGGAGACCATAGTAATGTGACAGTAACTCATTTCATATTGGCCTCTTTAGAATGTGTTGTGACTTCTAACGATTAATTATTTGTTGGAATGTTATACTCCAATTGGTTTTCAGATTTGATGGCTTTCTTTGCTCTGCAAACAGAATTCTAAGCTAGATTGCAAGGAAGATTTCTTTCATTTGCTACTTGACAGTGAAGTCTTTATATTCTTGCCTTTGCTGCAATTCATTCTTGTGCTAATGAAACAAAGTCTGAATGTCTTGCAGCTTCAATTTCCTGAGTTGTAAATTAGGACTAGGAGGTACATAGAGAAAATGTGCCCCTTTAGTACACAGAAA